GGAGGAGGAGGGGGAACTGGGAAGGGAGAGGAGAGGGGCAGGAGAGGAGGGGAGAGGGGAGGAGAGAGATGAGGGAGGCACTTGTTGGTATAGCAGCTGTGGCTAAAAGAATATCTTTCTTCTATTTGGGGGAATAATTCTTTTATTCTTTTTATGTTTCTTAAAGCAGAAGAACTATAGGTTTCTAAAGTATCACTTTTTTAAGGTTTGAAATCTGAATCCTTCGTGAACCAGGAGAAAGAATGATGGAGTCCTTCGGTGTTTCACTAGTGATTCTGTGGTTTCACTTCAACTGTGAGTTTGGGTGTTTGTATTTGAGGTAGTTGTCTAACCTAGGACTGTGGGGAGAAATGTCAATGGCTTCATTCTTCAAATAAGAAAGTGTGGGAGACCCACAGCATATCATTTTCATTCTGGAGATTAAGCACCCACTCCCCAAACAATCTTCTTTTTCTGACCATTGTCTTTTTGCACAGGGGTGAGCAGCCAGCAGAAGGAGGTGGAGCAGAGTCCTGAGTCCCTCATTGTTCCTGAGGGAGCCATTGCTTCTCTCAACTGCACATGCAGGGACAGTGCTTTTCGAAACTTCAATTGGTACCGACAGTATCCTGGGAAAGGCCCCGAGTTGCTGATGTCCATGTACTCCAGTGGTGACAAAGAAGAAGGAAGATTTAAAATGCAACTCAACACAGCCAGCCAACTTGTTTCCCTGCACATCCGAGGCTCCCAGCACAGTGACTCTGCTGTCTATCTCTGTGCAGTGAGCACACAGTGCTCCCCAGGCACCTGCAGCCTGCACTCAAACCACAGGGGCCCAGGCAGGCCTGAGGGAGAGCAGAGACCAAGGGAGAGGGGATTTTGTACCTGTTCCAGATGCAGGAGGGATTAAGAACAAGAGTAGAGACTGGGAGAGTATTTTAATAATTCTGAAAATAAATGACCATGAAAGGGGAACTAGAGACAAAATATTTGTCTGGTGTAAATATTTTCCTGCTTTCTGTTGTCACTCTAATTTTAAAAAATTGTTTTGAGATATGTGCAAAAGGTGCACACATTTAAGTTATAAATTTTTGTGCAATTAAAAATTAGTGTATAACCAAGAAAGTATCACCCTAAACAATGCTATAAACACATCAGTCACTTTTAAAGTTTTCCTTCCTCCTTTTTGTTTTAAAATTGAACTACAATTGACAAAAAATGCACATAGTGCATACATCTTGATGTCTACTCTAGTTTTACATCACAACTTTATCAAGAGGATTAGCTTTGTGATGATTTTTATAAATGAAGAACAATGTTTTGATATAATAATAGATGTCCCTTCATCGTTATTAATGCCCTTTGCTCTTCCCATTCAGTTTCTCAAGATGTCTGATACACTGCATTAGAAATGTAAAGGTAAAAAAGGACTCATAAACATCTACTTTCAGAAAGGTTTAGGACAGGATTACTTTATAGATCTCCCACTTTAAGCTGCAACCCCTCTCCTAGATTAGATAAGGACACAGTGGGTGGACAGAAGGAAGGACTCCAGTCAGAGTGAGAATTGATAAAAACAAAAAGCTCAGATGGTTCTAGCAATCAAATATCTGAAATGGTCTATGTTACTTTTTGAGTTCAGGCTAAGTAGGTCTCAGAATACTTTTCCAGAGCCTGATTTCCTGTGCCAGTGGGGTGTGGTGTGGAGATAAGAAGAGCATCCTCCACAGCCGTAGAGAGCTCCATATACCACCAGGGCATGGGGAAGCAGAATGACTCCAGATATCTTGAGAAGGATCTCTGACCTGGCATCTAGAACAGTCCTAGACATCAGGGCACTTTGTTCTCATAACCAAAGAGCTGCCTGGATCAGCTACAACAGAGCCCATGGTGCTGGGGTGGGGGATTTACCCAGTGTTGGTAAGGAGAGTTGGAGATACTGAAGATCATATTGTGTCATCACCACACCGCTCTTTTCTGACTTCTAGGCAAAGTGGATCGCCCCTGCTATTTCCACCAAGGCCAGGAAACATGTGCATGAATTGATGAAAACAAGTCCTTAATATGGTTCAATAAGCATTAAGATGAATTATAAGAAAAAAATTCAAAGCCACGCTTATTTGTAAAATGAATGTGATGGCCTATTATTCATGAGGTTGTTTATGTAGGCTCAGGGTCAGAAAAATTTGGCAATGTGGAATTAAGATTTAGTAATCCAACCAACCCACTGTGGATTTGCTTCACATTCTCAATCTGAAAGTTGAAGGTTCCTAACAAATATTTCCAAATCACGGAAAAACAATTACAAGCCAATGAGAAACACAGAAGTTGTGTTGAAATCTAGACATGTTGCTGGCTCCAAGTTTTTGAGTGCATTCTGGCAGCATGGAACTGTGGAAGGAACCAAGGTCATGATGCTGATATGAACATCTATAGTGGTACCAAATAGGCCATTTGATCATAGGCTGTAACATTATATATATTTGAGGATTGCTTATAGAAATAAATGAAATAACATATTAATGTAGGTTGAATTTTTAAAAAGAGAGCTTGAACTGAAATTCTTTTGCCCATAATTTATGGAGGAAATCAGGTCGAAAAGGAACCTAAAAAAAAGCACAGACATGGTCCAGCTGGAGTCTTGGTTCAGCCTGATCTCCTGGGGACTTCAGGGCATGCACTGCCCCACAAAGCTGATTCTTCCCACCTTGAGAGAGGAGGCCAGACTGTGCACCTTTTGTGCTTTGTAATAAAGTATGAAGTCCCTGGTTATGGTGTCTCTTGGGCTAAGGTGTACCCTATTGAACAATGGTGACTCAGTGGAAAAAGTCAGCTTTGTAAAGAAAGGGTTAACTGTGAGCCAAAAGTAGCCAAAACTCACAGAACCTGGGTATTTGCTACACTGGCTTGGGAAAGGGGATTTAGACTGGGTGCCAAGAGTGTGAACTGTTACTATGGGAAAGTCCTGGCACACGTGGAGCAACATTTCTAATTGCTGTATTCCAAATTTTAATTTCTTCATCTAAAAATATTGATCTCAATATTTTTAAAAACTTGAAATAAGTTGAAACACTTGTTAACAGAAAAGATCTAAATAAATACAAAGAATTATTATTCAAAATTGTCAGAATTTTTTGAGAGTTAGTGACCAGGGAATCAGTATATAATTATATTAATTTCTTTTGAGGCTTTTTTTGGGACACTGTCTATCACCTCTACCTGGGTAGAAATGACTATGATAATTGACAATTGATAATTTTTGACTTTAATATGTACAAAGCCATATATAGAGAGGCATCATCTATACTTACGAATGTGTAACATTATTTTTTTCTTGGTTTATATTTGAGAAAGGCTGCCTGGATGGAGGGATATCACTGTACCATTCTCCCTAAATGCTTCCTCTTGAATGGGGTTGGCAGCAGCATGGTCTGTGGGCTCACATGTGGCTGGGCAGGCTTCTTACTAGGATAAAAGAGTAAGAGACTGGCAACTCAGTTGCTCCTCTCATTCCCTGAACCTAGTGCAATTTGGAGATGGCTTAACTGTCACCTTTCCTCACTGAAATATTGTCTTCCCGGGTGATTAATTTCAATTTAGTGAGCATTAAGCCCCTGAAGTATTTTATTTTACTTTTTTGGAGATTTTGGGACTAGCATATTTTCCCTAATTTCTATTTAGTTCACTGTCTGTTGTCACTATCATTAGTTAGTTCATTGTTAGCATCCCCAGCAACAATATATATATATATAAAGAATCTCAATTTCACCACAATGAAATGAATTTCAAATCGATCAAAACCCAGAAATTACTCCTGATGCAATTTAACATGTGAACAAAATGGAGAAAGTTTTGATTCTGAAACTAAGTTTAGTGCAATTTAAAATACATTATATGAAACTGAATTTTCTTTCTTTCAAAGGCTATAGGTAAAATCTGGAGGATGGAAAGGCAGTAGTGAAATGTCTGTACCCCTTGGCTGAGCTTAAATGGTCCTCCTGCCCTCATACTCTCTCCTTCTTCTTACTGGCTTGCAGTCCTCTGAGCCTTGGAGGTCAAACATTTAGGCCAGGACAAGAGGGACAAGGAGATGGGAGGACAAAAGCAACCTAAAACCAGAAACAAAATGTTCAAACGGGCATCAGTTGGCTCCTGATTAATCCATCAGCCATTTATTTCCAGGCTGGTTTTGCCCTTCACATGTCTGGGCCCTGCATAGAGGGAACACAGGTGTAGAATAAGATTTGTTTTAATAATCTGGTCCTCATTCCACTTAAAGCAATCTCTTTGGTTTATATTTTTGAGCGAGCTTTACCTATTATAGATACCTGTCAGTTTGGAGACTAAATGCCTGAGTTGGGGGTTTCTGAGCACGCATGACACTCTAAGAACAGCCAGGTGATCTCCCCAGGAGAGAATCTTGCCAGCATGGTAACTGTACTCTGAGATCATTATTTGAGTAAGAGTTAAACAGTCTAAGTGTATACTAACTCCCCTTTCTAGTTTGTGCCTAACCTATTACAGAAAGACTTGGCAACACTTGGAGTGAGCCACATTCATTCTCACGTGCATACAGACCTTGTGGTCTATGAAACTAAGAAACTCCGTTTCCTGTTTGAGGAGCAATATAAAACCTCCAGCAAGTGCTTAACCTAGCAGGCAGTCAGAGTCCCTGAACCCAGACACCCAGGCAGAAGAAAACACATTGTGCAGAGAAACATGGGCCACATGCTGCTCTCCAGCCTGCTGTGGGTGTTCTTGACCATCATCTACTCTGGTACAGATGGTCCAAATATGGTCAAGAATATTAGGGATGAAAGGACTCCGCACAAGCATCAGGTGCTTAACATGGGCTAGATGAGGAAAGGGGGATGAGGAAAAAAGCAAGCAAACTGTCACTCCAGTTTGGTTTGTTGTTGGGTCCTAAATTGGTCTAAATATTTAAATATTTTTATTACTATGTCAATAATATAATAGCTATATTTTTCTGATTGTTTCTATAGGATACACTGTGGCCCAAAAAGTGACTCAAGTTCAGCCTGCTGCATCGAGGCCAGAGGGGAAAGCAGTCACTCTGAACTGCTCCTATGAGACAAGTGTACGCTTTTATGATTTGTTTTGGTACCAGCAACTTCTCAGTGGAGAGATGGTTCTACTTATTCATCAGGGTTACTCTGGTGATCATGCAAATACTGGACACTATTCTGTCGATTTTCAGAAAGCAGCTAAGACAATCACCCTCACCATTTCAGCCTTACAGATTGAAGATTCTGCAAAGTGTCTCTGTGCTCTTTCAGAACACACAATAGTTGAAGTGACAGTAAAAGCTGAACAAAAACTCAGGAGCTCTGTAAGAGACAGGCCCTGCTCCAGGAGTCTAGCTAAGACTCACACCTGCAAATCCCAGATCAGAAGGGAGCATGGTGGTTGCTTCATCTGTGGTCTGGATCAGAAGATTAAGTTCTAAGTAAAACCAGTTTCTGACTCCTTTGGAAACTGGTATCAGAAAAAACTTTCTCCTAATGCATTCTGCTTGAATGTTTAAGTAAAAAGTAGATCACACAGAACTTGGGTAAAGTTGTCTAAAGTTGGAATACTTACCTCACAATTATTTCATGTGTCAGTTTCACTTAAAGAGGCTCACAGCATAAATGTGGATCTGATCATCTGGAATAGGAATGCTGATCATTTCCTTAGTCTCTTTCTCCTAGGTTTTAGACCAGTTAGGCACAACCTGAGAAACAGTACTACTAGAGTGATTTAAATAAGATATGGATTATATGGAATAGGCCTCCTACAATTGGTGGAGCTGACGAAGGAGTCTCTGCCATGCTATTCTCTTCTCATTTGGTACTGAGCGTGAATTGACTTAATGTCAGCTAGAGCCACATTTGGGAACGGAATTTGGATGAGGATAAACACACACAGAAACTATGACATGCAAGAATATTGTGAGACTTATTAGACAATTGAAACATTCAAGAGAAAATTAAAACTTCTCTGTCTCTCATCTCCTTCATCTCATTTGCTGGATGACCTTCAAAAGAAGAAAAGACATTTGCCATCATGCTACATACACACTTGGCCCAAGACAAAGAGAAGCTGGAGGAGAAGTTATAATGAGAGATAGAAGAGATGTGTCAACAGGAAAATAACCTGGCAGATTTATGACAACATGTGGGAGATGCCCAAGTACATGTAGCCCTGAAACTGCAGAACTTATAAGAAATGGCAGCTGCATCACACTGACCTTCCATGGTCAGCGTGTTACATTTGGCGGGTTACATTTATTGATATGTGTATGTCAAATCGTTCCTGATACCTTGGATGAATCCTACTTGGTCATGGTGTATACTCTTCTTGATGATTTGCTGCACTCTGTTTGCCAGTATCTCATTGAGGATTTTTGCACCTATGTTCACTAGGGAGATTGGACTGTAGTTCTCTTTTTTGGTTGGATCCTTCTCTGGTTTTGGTATCAAGGTAATACTTGCTTGCAGGAATCAGTTGGGAGTAGTGCTTCCCTTTCAGTTTCATTTAAGAGTTTGAGGAGTAGTAGCAGTAGATCTATAACTTTCTTGTATAATTCAGTAGTGAATCCATCAGGACCTGGACTTTTTCTTGTTGATAAGTTTATAATTACATCTTCAATTTCATTGATTGATATTATTTAGAATTGTTATATCTTTTTGATTCAGCTTTGATAATTCATATGTCTGTAGGAATCTGTTCATTTCTTCTGTGTAATAGCAGTGCATTTTAGCAATAACTAAATCTTGGAAAAGCCCAAATGCCCATAAACCAATAAATAGATAAAGAAGATTTTTTTATACAATGGAGTACTACTCAGCCATAAAGAAGGATAAACTTGAGAATTTGTAGGAAAATGGATGCACTTTGAGGCCATACTCTTAAGTTAAATAAATTGGACACAAATGTGTAAATATCATATAGTTTCTCTAGTGTGAGGAACTAAAAGTATAAATAAAGACAAAATGTATACTAGATATTGTAAAATAGGAAAAAAATGTTCAAATGGGAAGGGAAACTAGGGAGGGGGAGAGGGAAAGGAAGGGAAAAAAAGAAAAAGAACGAAAAAATGGAAACAAAACTTTTGTTAATAAGAAGGGAAGAGGGGTTGAAAGAAGGGTAGGGAAATGGGGGAAAAAAGAAGAATTAAGATATGTCGTGTATAGGTACAAATACCCTATGATGAATGTAATCATTGTGTACATCTAAAATGTACCAATAAACTTAATTAATCAAAAATATTTTGCTTATTTTACAATATGTATTAAGAAAATGTTCAAGGGGATGGGGAACTAGTGAGGAGATGAGGGAAAGGAAAGAAGGAAAAGAAAAATATGAGAGAAGAAGGAAAAACAGAAACAAAGCTTTTGTAGAGAGGGTGGAGGAGTTGAAGGGAGAGAAGGAGAATGGGAAAAATAAGAACCAAGGTATATCATGTACAAATTCCCAATGATGAATGTGATCATAATGTATACCGAAAATGTGCCAATAAACTTAATGAATAAAAAGTTTTAAAAAATATTTTGTGGTATTGAACTGGCTTCCTTGCTGCCCTCTAGTGTGCGTGCTTGAAATTGTGGCAAAGTCTCCTTACAGTGGAATATACTGGTGCTGAACCAAGGTCAATGAACTTCCCATTGTATGATGTTCTAGATTAGCTCTTAACCACTATGAAGTATGTGAAATTCTGTTCTATTGGGGAGAAATTTATTAATTAATAAAATCTCACCTATCTTCCAATTTCCTCTAGTCACTGTATCCCCTTGTTCCTTCCTGTCATCTGCTCACCAGCGGCCTGGAGAAGAACACTGTCATGGACTCACTATGGAGAAGTAGCCCAGTGCAAATCAACCTCTAAATTGTCAGGAAGTGGGATATAATAAAATGTTTTGAAAAGATTTTGGAACTGCTCAATGGCTTTTCCCAGGCAGTTCTATGTGTATGCCTGGTGTGGAACGAAGCCTCATTTGGTTTATTTTCTGGAAACAAAGCATGAGTTACAAGTGTCCTCTATGGCAGAGGATGGGATTGTGGATCAGAGCATATGCCATGTGTGGGGTGACTTTCTAGGAAGGGCTATAAGTCCAGGGAGAGAGATGCTGAATACAATACAAGAGACACACAATCTAAGATATTCTTATGCATATCAAGTAGATGGCGCCATGTTTAATTATAGGAAAACTTTGGCTCTGCATGTAGCTCAATGGTAGATCACATGCCTAGTGTATTTATATGTCTAGGTTCAATCCCTAACATAAAAAGTACCATAAATTTATTAGGATCTCTTCTTCAGAAAATATCTTAAGGATGAATGAGCTATCAAGGATTCAGACGCACTAACTTTCACATATATTTCTGAAGTTCTGATGGATTTTACTGTCCTTACATGTGACATTACAGAAACTCTGTCTCCAACTTCTAGGTCTTCATTTTTTCCTCTTGGTGTTTTCTGCTTCCTTTGCAGCTTCTCAGAAATACCAGTGGGGAAGGAGGTCTTTTGGGAAAAAGGCCTCATTTGGAGATTTTTTTCCATATTCCTATTACTCAGTAAGGATTAGCCCCAATAGGAAAGGCAGGGAGGAAAACATCCCCATGACTCTTCACATAAATCATAAGTAAACACTGTACATAGAGGTATGGATTCTTGATTTTAGGTTCAAGTTTATTGCTGAAGATTGGGGAAAAGAAGATTTTGGTTTCCACCAAGCTTTTCCTGTGTGGTTTAGGATGGTCCTTTCATTATTATTACTCACTTCACTGTATAGAAAGGAAGCTTGATGCCTTTAAAATGTAGATAACTTTAAAGATCATAGAGAGAGAACTGATGTTTTTAGTGATTGCCAAGTCCAGTGAATAAAATGATTCTGTTTTTCCTATGTTCAGGGAAGAAGACCCTGTCAGCTTCAGAGGTGCCCAGAGACTTTAGCCTGGTCATGAAGTTTTGCAAGGAGAAATGTGAAAAAATTCAGGAAATAATGCCCACAATGCTTGCAAAGGTAAATAGTCTATGTGATGCCTTTTACAGTCCCAGCAAGGATGGAGTAAATGTAATTGGGGAGGATGTGAAATAACTAGAATTCTTATATTGTACAGATGGGAATATTAACTACAGAAGATCACCTTTCTTTGAGCTGCAGTATGCATTTTCTGTGATGAAGAACGATGATGTTCTTTTCAGGCATATACATCACAAATTTGCATAAGAGAACAAAAGGACATAGAAAATAATTTTCTAGCAATATTCTTTGTAATAGATAAATATTGGACAGAACTTAAATATTTGCCAGAGTAGAAGAGAAAATTATAACAAATCCATATAAATGGAACACAGCACAAAGAGGAAAATTATCAAACTACTGCTACATTCAGCAATTTTTATGAATCTCACATACATACTTTTCAGTAAAAGAAGCCAGACACCAAATGATAGTTATTATAGGATCATCTGTATGTTAGGTTGAAAACAGACAAAACAATTTAGAGTGATAGAAGTCAAAATATCGGTTACCTTTTGTGGATGGATGACTTGTAAAGGCATAGTGAAGAATTCTGGAATTATTTCTTATAATATTACATATTGTGATCTGAGTACATTCCCTTAAGAAAATTCACCAAAATATGCACCTTGACTTGTGCACTTTATTATTTTTAAACTTTTGTTTAACATGTAGTAACAGTATACATTAATGAGGCACAGGACATTTCAAGGTGTGTGTGTGTGTGTGCTTGTGTGTATGTATATGTGTGTGTCTGTGCGGTGTACTGATCCAATCACTGTAATTATAATTTTTCTTCTTGTCGTTTCTTTATATTTGGGGGTCTCAAGCTCCTCCCTTCTCACTCTTCACAAAATATTCCCAAATAAACAAGTGAACAATAGTCATCCCTCTGTGCTGTGGAACACAACTTACTCCTCTCTAATCTGTATAGATACCTGTTATTCTACCTTCCTTTATTTCTTCTTTCTTCCACTCTGTCCAGCCTCTAGTAATATTATGTTCTATTATTATTGTTATATTTTGTAATATGTTAATATATTGTTTTGCATTATTTTACATTTAGATTGACTTTTTGAAGTTATCACATATGAGACAGTATGTACAATATTGATTTGTCCGTATCTGGCTTATTTCATTGAACATAACCTACCTCATTTGATACATTTTGTTATAAATGACAGGATTTCATTTTTCTCTATAGCTGGCTGAGTAATTTTCCCCTGTACACATATGGTATATTATCTCTATCTATTCATCCATCAGTGGTCACTCAGATTGATTCCACACTTTAGCTAGTGTGAACAGTGCTTCAATAAACATTGGAGTGCAGGTACCCTTTATTATTTTGATTGCATTTATTATATATATATATATGGAAGAGCTACATCTACTCTAGATCTATTTTTAATGTTTTTTAAAGGAAATCTTCAATCTGGTCTTCAGAATGGCCAAAATAACTTACCTCACCAACACAGTTTATAAGAGCTCAGATTTCTGCAAATCATCACAGCATTTGTCACTTTCTTTTGGTCTCCCCTCTTCCCAGAGGGCTGATTGCTGGAGATCAAACATGGGGACACTCTACCACTGAGGTACAGCCCCATCTAGTCTTACTTCCAGTATTTTTTTAAGACAGGGTCTTGTTAAGGTTGCCCAGATGTGACTCCAACTTTCTATCCTCCTTTCTCTGCTTCCCTTAATGCTGGACTTGTACCACTGCGCCCTGTTTCTGTCTGTCTTTTTGATAAGCAGGAAAAATTTGAGCTTAGGGTCAAGACCTAAACTGGATGTTGAGATCTAACTGGGCTTCTGCAGTAGGTTTAGGCATTGGTCTGAGGTATATTATTAAGAACTGTAGGATTCTGGAAAATTAACTGGAGAAGATGATTGTATAAACATGAACCAAAGAGAATTATTTAAGAATAATCATCAGAAGCTATTTTTTACCAAGAACAGTTTGAAAGCCAGGTCCAAATAATATCATTTGTGATAGTTACAATCAGTCACTTATATGTAAGAATCCCTCTTTATAACCTCTTGACTCTAAAATTTTAAAATTGACTAAAGAGTCAGAATTTTACTTTTAACTATTCACATAACAAATATCTGCATTTTGAAATTGCTTTGCTCACTATAGAAAGCCCACAAGATGGCAGTGTCTTGTCAGAGACCTTGAAGACAGCTCTCAAGTACTATAGTCCTCTGGTCTCTGGGGAAGAGAGGGGGAGGAGGAAGGGGAAGGGGAAGGGAGAGGTGGAGAGAGATAGAGAGAGGAAGAAAGAAAGAGGCTTGTTTGGAGTAGCAGAGGTTTTGGTGAAAAGAATCTTTATTTGTAATTTGGAGAGCTGATTTTTAAAAAATATTTCCTATGACTCTTCACTGATCCAGGGGGAGACAATGATGGAATCTTGCAACATTTTACTAGTGATCCTGTGGCTTCAGTTCTTCTGTGAGTTTGGGCATTTTCTGGGAATACAGAGTACAATATGTGAAGTTGTTGTCTATTCTAGGTTCCTGGGGAGAAATTTGGATGCTTTAGAGAATGATTTACATTGCGGAGAGTTAAGCACCTACTACCTAACCAATCTTTCTTGCCTATTGTCTTTTTGCCCAGGGGTGAGCACCAAGCAGAAGGAGGTGGAGCAGAGTCCTGAGACCCTCAGTGTTCCAGAGAGAGCCATGGTCTCTCTCAACTGCACTTATAGGGACAGTGCTTCTCAGAACTTCAGGTGGTACCGACAGTATCCTGGGAAAGGCCCCGAGTTGCTGATGTCCATGTACTCCATTGGTGACCAAGAAGAAGGGAGATTCACAATGCAGCTCAACAGAGCCAGTCGGCATGTTTCTCTGTACATCAGAGACTCCCAGCACAGTGACTCAGCCACCTACCTCTGCGCAGTGAGCACACAGTGCTCCCCAGGCACCTGCAGCCTACACCCAAACCATAGGACCTTGGGAGGCTTGAGGGCATGGGGATGCAGAGTGAGTTCAAATTACTTGAGAAGGATTTCTGAGAGAAGTCTAGAAGAATTCCAGACATGAAAGTGCTTTGTCCTGATGACCAAATGTCCTGCATGGATTGGCATATAGTATTGAGAGTGTTTTGGTAAATGTTGATGAGGCAATATGGAGACACTTAATATCATATGCATGTCCCACCCCCCTGACCCATAGGCACTGTGAATTTGCCCTGAAACTTATATGAAGTCCAGGAAAAATGTTGTGGTCTGATGGAAATAAGTCCTTATAAGAAGAATGAAAATAAATTATAGGAAAAAATTAAAAGTCACACTTTTTGTAAAACTGAAATTGTAATCTGTTAGCCATGATGTTTATTTAGTTCATAAGATCAGACAAACTTGGAAATGAGGAACTAAGATTTCTGTCCAGTATTGTTTACAAACTAATGTATAGTATAGTCACAAACTAAATGGAAACAAACTAATCAGGATTTGGTTAGGTCCTCAATCTGCAGAATTAAAGACTCTCAACATAGATTTCAATGTTATGAAAGAAAAATCTGGAAGGCAAACAGAAAGAGCAGAAAGTTGTGCTAGAATCAAGGTACTTAAATTTTAGCCCCACTTTTATTGCACGCATTGTGACATTCTGGCACTCTAGAAAGAACCCATGTAGTGCTGGTTTGAATATCTATTATACACTTAATGGTTAATTTAGTCTTACATTGTACTATTATGCATATTTCAAGATTGGTTTCAGGATTAAGTGAGATCATATATTATTTTAGGATGAGTTCCTTAAAAGCAGAGTCTGGCCTGGGAATTCTTCACCCTTATTTTATTGAGGAAAGAGGTTGACTTAGGGCTGTGTTAAACATGGATGTGGTCCAACTGGAGTCTTGATTCAGCCTGATCTGGGGAACTGCAGAACATGCATTGTACCAGAGTTGATCTTTCCTATCTGGTGGCAAGGGGCCTGAATACTCACCTTGTGTACTCTGTAATATATTGAACTCACTGTCTGTATTCTTTCTTGGGGTGCAAGTGTATCCTACTGGACAATGGTGACTCTCAGTGGAAGAGCTCCATTTTGTACAGAAGGGGTCAGCTGTGAGCCTGAGGTAGCCAAAACTCACTTGCTGGACCTTGTGGTGGTGAACCGATGGCACACATGCCACAGCAGGCTTGTTTGTATCATTGAAAGCTCTAACAGGTTCACTATCACTATCACTGTTCTATGCCATTTTTTCCTATTTCTTATATCCATGTAGAAATGACTCTGATGAATAGAAAGACATACTGAAGAAGGTAGTTTTGAATAGCTAGTATTATTTTGTTCTTGGTTTGTATTTAAGAATGATAGATTGGGAGAAATATTGTGCCCATGTTTCCCAAAAGATTACTCTTGATTGGGCTTGTCCAGCAGTGTGGGCATACAGGCCAATTGGCAGGATTTTTCCTAGGATGAAAGAACAGAGGTCTGGAAAATCAGTTGCCCTCACATGGAAATCTCTAGTGTTCCCATGTGGTTCATTTCCATTTAGTGAGGATTAAGTACCTGGAGTAAGGCTGGCCACATATGCTTCTCACACAGGAGCACAGCAGCAGGGTGAAGTGCACAGGGAGGCACCTGTTGCCCTTCTAACACCCCGAACTTTAGGTCATCCCTTGGTTCATCCCTCCTACCCACCATCATAGCTGCTCTCTCTCTTTCTCAGCCCAGCAATCTCTGAGGTTTGGCAGAAGAGGTTTCCTTCACTCATATTTCCACCACAGTATTCTCATAGTTGATTCTGGGCTCTACTTTTTCCCCTTCCTTTTTCTTCCATCAGTCAGCTCACTTTACTTTCCATGTAATGGATGATGATCTTTTTATTTTTTAATTATTTTACTATTGAGGATTTGAGTCCATCCTGTTGTTATTTCTAAATGATACTTTGGTAGAAATTTTGGAGAGAAAAAAATGATACTTTGGTAGAAACTTTGGAGAGAAAGAAAGAATATACATGTTCTTAGAATTGTTTCAATCAAAAGCACATTCTAGTAACATTTAAAATTTCAAACTGGCAATATGCCTACATAGAGAAGATCTACAGGCAGAATCAAAATATAGATCAGAAGCCAAAGGAAAAGTGTTCCTTTGGAACAAGAAGAGACCCAGAATAGCAAAAGCAATTCTAGGTAACACAGACACCCCAGGGGATACTACAACCTGCAACTTGAAACTATACTACAAAGCTACTGTGATAAAAACATCATGGTACTGGCAAAGAAACAGACCTTAGGACCAGTGGAACAGATTATAAAATGCAGGAACAACTTGAGGCACACTCAACCACCTCATCCTTGACAAAGGAGCCAAACACTCTCACTGGAGGAAAGATAGTCTCTTTAATAAATGGTGCTGGAGAAATTGGGTTTCAACTTGGCATAGACTAAAACTAGACCTATATCTCTCACCATGCACTCAACTAAAATCAAAATTGATTAAAGATCTAAATATTAAAATAGAAATGGTGAATTGGCTGTAACAGAGGTTAGGTAGAACTCTTGAAGACATTGGTGTAGGAAAAGATTTTATGAACAAAACCTCAGTTGCCCGTGAACTAGTACAAACAATCAACAAGTGGGATCTCTTCTTAATAAAAAGCTTCTGCACAGTAAGAGAAACCAGTTGCAGTGTGAAGAGACAACCCACAATGTGGGAAAAAATTTTCACCAGTGGCCCCTCAAAGGTCTACTATCCCGAATCTATAAAGAACTTAAAAAGATCAGACCTCCCAAATTTAAAGACCCAATCCAAAAATGGGCATCTGAAATGAACAGACATTTCTCAGTCAAAGAAGTAGAAATGGAAAATAAACATATGAAAAAATGTTCAACATCACTGGCCATTTGAGAGATGCAAATGAAAACAATGCTGAGATTCCACCTCACTCCAGAAAGAATGGCTGCTATCAAGAAGTCAACCAATAACAAATGCTGGTGGGGCTGTGGGGAAAAAGAAACACTGCTGGTGTAGACTGGTGTAGACTGGTGCAACCACTGTGGAAATCAGTATGGAGATACCTCAAAGAACTATGACTGGAAGTCCCATTTGACCCAGCTATTGCCTTGCTGAATATCTTCCCCAAAGAATTAAAAGAATCAGACCACAGTAATATATGTGCACCCATGTTCATAGCAGCACAGTTTATGATAGCTAAAACTTGGAAACAGCCCAAATGCCCATGAACTGGAGACTGGATAAAGAAAATGTGGGGTTTTTTTTTTTTAATAAAATGGAGTACTACTCAGCCATAAACATGAGAAATTAGAGACATTTATTGCTAAATGGATGCACATTGAGGCGATATTCTTAAGTGAAATAAATAGCACACACGTGTTAAAACAGAATAGTTTCTCTAGTGTGAGAAACTGAAAGTGTAAATAAGGACTAAAAGGTATAATACATAATGTTAAATAGAAAAGGAGCAAAGGGGAAGGGGAAGAGGGAGAAGCAGGGGAAAGGAAATTAGGGAATGGAATTAATATGAGAAAATGAAAAAAAGGAAACAAAGTCTTTGCAAATAGAGAGGGATGGAGGGGTTGAAGGGAGGGCAGAGGAAGGGGGAAAAAAGAAACAAGAGAGTATGTAAAGGTGCAAATTTCCAATGATGAATGTCATTTTACTATGTACCTAAAATGTACCAGTAAAAGGATATACAGTTAAAAAAAAAGTGTCAGGGCTTCCCGTGAAAAAGAGAAAGGCATTTCCACTAAAAATATCATCTCTGTATTCAGTACACTAATCAGCATCACCTCAGATGATTATCAATCAATGGTCAGGGCTCTCTAGAGTAGCTGATTTAATATAATATTTGATATACATATATACATACATGTATACATATATACAGAGTCTGCCAAAAATGCATAAATCAAGAAAAGAAAAACTAATATAAATATCTTAATACTAAGTTTATTAAGACATCATGAGATTAATACAAGATATCTTTGGCTTCTACAATTAAATAGGTGCTCAAAGTAGTGGCCATTAGCTTCCAGACATTTATTAGTGTGGTGGACTGCTAAAGTGTGTATATATTTTTTTGCAGATTCTGTATATACACCATATATGTGTATATATATTTATATATATATACACACACACATATACAAACACACATA